AACACGTCTAAATTGTCATCAAAATTTTTTGAAGAATCCATTTTGAAACTGAAAAATCGCTCAAGTAAGTAAAAGCTTGTTTTGAGTAGATTTGAATAAATACAAGTCTTCCAATATTTTTCAAAGCTCTTTAATGGTTTTTAGTTTACCCACTTTTCTCAAAACTGCATCAGCCAAGTGTAAAATAATTGAGGTATAAGCAAGCTCATCAATTTCTTCTTTTTGTTCTTTTGAAAAATCAGTGGGAAAGTTGTCGTCAATGGCTTTTGAAACCTTTTTTGAACCAAGTACCTTTCAGTTTTTGTTGCCAAATAGAAAAATCACATTTTTTGTTTGCCAAATAGATTCTGTTTGAAGAAAGTTTCACCAGAGCAATGCCCATGTGCCGCTACGCGCCTCGTCGGAATGCCCACGAGTAGCCGGCGCCGTCAACCTCAAGCGCCTGACCCCTTGCACCTCCTCCACCCTCACGTCCTAATTCCGGTCTCCGTTTCACCAAAAGCCTATTGGATTGGCCGAAAAACTCAGTTGCAGGTTCGGTTTTATGTTGAAAATCTAGGCAGTTTTTTTAATAGTTTCTTCTGCTGGTTTTTGGATCTGTTTTCCACGAAAATCACCTCCAACTATTGCTCCGATACCTCTGATACCAAATGTAGAGAAATGGAGTCCAAGTTTCCACCAAGACCGAACTTAGTATTGGATCGAACACCACAATTGTCAAACCCAAACAACCCTAAACCGGTTGCTCAAAGAGACTACCCTCAAAGGAAACTTAGATGAAGAATACTATAGCCACAGATCAGCCACAAAGACAAAACCACAATGAAGGCAGAAAACACAATGCCAGTCACGTCGTTTTTTTCTCTCAAAAGAAAGGCTATTTGTATTTTCACTCACTTCAATAGTAACGGGCAGAAGCATATATAAGGGTTGAATATAGGCTTTTAGGGTTAGGCTCAATAGGAAATAATAAGTGGGCTGTCAACGGATAAAAATTATTCAAGTTTGGGTTGGACCATAAGCAGCACTAATTAAATTAGGCTACTTCAAATAGCCCAAGTAGATTATGTGATTGGTTCACCAAATTGTGGTGTCGATATACTTTTAGTCATTTGGTCAATGCCGACTGAAATAAACAATATTTACATCATTTCTCAGGGAGATCGTTTGAAAACAATTTGCCTAACATTTGGAAATAGAACTTTACTTTTTTTAAGCTTAGCCAAACATGCTCGAATGAGTGTCAGCAAACTCGGTGCCATTTCTAAATCTAGTCCGTAAGGAATTACTGATTTGTATAAT